ATATATATATATTACATTTTATTAATTTTTTTTCCTCATTCTTCTCTCTCTATCCTCTTCCTTCTCTATTCTCTTTCTTTTCTCTCTCTCCCTTCTCTCTAACAACAACTAGCCTCTCTCTCTCTCTCTAACAGGGAAGAGTGTCGGCTCCATGAGTGGCGCTACATAGTGGCACTTTCACCGTTGTGTACGTAGCGGCACTAGCTATGGAGTTTTAGGGTGGTTCTAGATCTTATCCGATATGTTGCTTAGCCAAAACTTTAGGGTGATTTTTGTTTTCTGTTGTTGGTGTTGTGCAAATGGTGGTGATGGTGAGATATATCTATGACCTGTGCACCATGACATGTGACATGTTACATGTGACCTGTAAATTGTTACTTGTGATATTGATCTAATGACATATGACCAGTTCTCTTGGATTTGTAACATGTGACCTATATAATATAACATGTGAATTGTTTACATGTGACCAGTAAACTGTTATCTATGATATGAATCCAATGACTTGTAACCAATCATTTTGGATTTATGACTTGTGGACATTGATCCGTCACCTATGCAATATGACTTTTAACATGTGAACTATTATATGTGACCTATAACATATGAATTATAACATGTGAACTTGAATATGTGACTTGTTATTAGTGCACAAAAACATGTGATGTCTGATCTATGACCAGTTATTGACCTATAACTTATTGATATTGATACGAGACTTATACATTGACCTGTGACATGTAATCTGTGACTTGTGTATTGTGACATATGAACATAATAAGTGATTGTGACCAATTCAATTTGATATGTGACATATGCATAATAACCTGTGATATGTAACAAGTGCACATTGAACTTTGACAACTGAATTATGACTTGTATCAAGGGACTCGTGACATGTGCAAATGAACATGTGACCACCAGCACCATTATCACCACTTGACCACAACTGCCGCACCACCATCACCATCACCATTTGAAAAAAGAAAACCATCGCCAACAAAAATTACAGTGGCTGTGCAAAAATTGGATCAGGTCTGAACATTGTACCGCACTTTAAAGTGGGAGCTTGACGCTGCACGCAGAAGTGGGAGCTCGTCACTACAACACTGCTACGCATTGCAGTGATGATGAAACTGCACACGACAGTATTGTAGCAACGTTATCGCTACTATGACTCCAGTGGGGTAGGGTGAAGAGAGAAGGAAAGTGCTACCGAGGCTCCAGTGGGTTGGGTGAAAAGAAAAGTGGGAAGAGAGAAGGAAATGCGACTCCGGTGGAATGGGGGTGAAGAGATATGGAGGAAGAGAGAATGGAAGAGTGTGTGCGTGTGTGTGCTGTCTAATGTGTGTTTAATAATATTATTATTAATATTAAAAAGTGAATTATGACTTGATTTTTGAATAAACAAACCTTAACCTTGATTTTTGAAATACAATCTCTAAAAACTTGCCTCCCTTTGATTTCCACGTGAATCAAACTATTAAAGGCTATGTTTTTGTTGCTTTTGGCTCTTTTTTATTTGATTGGGAGTATACTACAATTAATTTAAAAAGATGAATTAGGCAATTGTAATATAATTTAGAAATGATTGGTCATATTGGCACCATATTTTTTTACTTATTGCACTAAAGATATTCAAGATTTGTTTATTGTAGCATTGTGTTTATAATTTTTTTATTGAATTTTTATCTTCAATTTTTCAATAGTTAGCATATCTCATTGTTGAAGATGGTTTCTTCCAAAATATTCTGTTTGCATGCTTTGAAATTAGGAAAAAATATTGTCACATTTTTGTATCTAATTATTTATTTATAATGAAAGCTTATTAATGGTGGACAAATAAGCCTTTTTATGCTCTCCATCAGACTTTTGGGTTGTTAGCAAAGACAAGATGTGTTAGTTAATAAAAGATTGACAAAAAAATTAAGAACATAAGTATTACAATGAGCAAACCTCGAGGACATTGAATGCAATTAAATTGTGATGTCAATACATTTGCCATTTAAAAATTAGTTATCTATAATATATTAAATATCACATTAAGTGAGAATCATTTTTTGGACGATTTAAGCATTACTACAATTTAATTATTTCAATAGTACATTATTTTTCGTTTTCAATATATATTTAATTAAATATTGATTATTAAACATGCACGCAAATCAATAATTGAATTGTGTGAGAAAAATCAAATTGATTCATGAACATGAAATT